TCATTTGTTAGGGTAACTGCTCCGGCAATCAACTGGTGTTGATCGGAGAAACCACGGAAAACTACTGATCCGAGCAGTCGGTCACTAGCATTCTCCTCCAGACAGAGACTGAATTCGACCTTGCTCTGAAGGAAGTGTCAAAAATTGTGCCACCGTCGGGACTCGAACCCTAGGACAGAGGCACTACAGGGGCCAAAATTGATGCCCTGGACCACCTAACCAGGTTTCCATGCTTGAATGGAAATAAAATGAGAGTAATTAAAGCTGTCTGAAAGCAAACAGTTCATGAGAAACATAGTAAAAGTGACTTTATTAAACTCGGTTGCGCCACTCGTTCTCTCGATCTTTCAAAATAAAATGTCACTTATTCCACAATATTTATTAATATAAATATCTATTACATTTTGCGGCAGGCCTTCTCGGGTGTTATTCTCCCCACCAAACTCCAAAATATTATGAATATCAATATTAATCCCTATACAGTATTTGAGTAACTGCGAGTGAGCGAGTGTACTATTTGCGCAAGATTTCTTGATACACGAGCTCCCTAGTCCTCATACAGCGCTGAATAGCACGGCACGTTGAGATACTTAGGTTCGACTCGGAACGGCACGTACCAATTTACAATGCTACCAACAACCACCTCGTACTTTCAAATCAATCGTAGCATTTCTCGTGACACGTTTTGGAGAGTTAAGTTCATGTCTACAATTGGTACGCCCTTTTAAGCCGTGACGTAGCCAGAGCCCTCCTCTCCCCGCACCCTCACTGTGGAATATCAAGAAAACTTACGCGTATAGTACGTATCCGTCACTCACAGTTAGGCGACTTCTCGTGCGCCAATCGTGACATATAAGATGCCATTCGACGCGTCTTTCTCTCCTGATGGGGAACTGATAATTTGTTTTATGATCCGGCCAGAAGATTCTAAGAAATTTCTAAAAATGTGTTTTGGGGTGTTTTAGCGCTGCCATCTTAGCGAGTATGCGTGGAATTAATCCAACGCCACCCAAATAGATCTATGTAGGGGGCGTTGAATGGGACAAATGAATCGCCGCGTGGGAGATTTCATTTAATTTGCATACATATTAACGAATTTAAAAAAAAATACATTTGCAAAAGCCTACGCACAGTATTGCCTTGAAACTTATTGAACTTGAAGAAATTTAAATAAAAACGGGAATAATACCATAGAAACACGTACGTTTTTACGATTAACTTCTCGCATTTACATTCTTAAGCGGGCAAATACGTGTTTTCAAATTGTGACTAACAACCATTTCTTATTAAATTTATCCAATATTTTATTCACATAAACATTCAAATCAGTCGCCTTTTAAAGTTTATGTAGATTCGCCTACAAAACGAGAAATAAAGCAATTGCAGAAGTAGAAGTGAACACATTAGGATTGCTTTACAGAGTTTTAATCTCTTCGAAAATTAGAGGACAAAAATTTGAAAGTGTCAAGCAGATCCGGAGAAAAGGAACATGTAGGTGTAAAATATTTTGCTACAGAATTTGCAGAACTAATTGAGAATGGTCTTATTAGAGTATAACGCTGAAGAGCAGCTTACTGATTGATTTTATATGAGCATTTTTGTGCAATTTAGCATAAAAAACGTAAAAAATGTAGCTGTACTAAATTTCAACTATTCAGCACCATTCATATCTGCAAGTTTTTGTAAGGCGTTTATGATTTTGAAGTTGAAATAATGCCAGTTTATATCCTCTATGGAGGGAACATACACGTTCGTCGTGTATTGGGAATTTTTGAACCAGAGTAAAACACTAGCTATTACGATTCATGGGTATGTCTAATGCTAGAAACTGTAAGAACTTCTCGAAACAAAAAATAAATATAACATAAATTTTCAACAACTGAAAATACTTTTAAAATGGTTGACAGTGTCGGCGACGACACATTCGACCAGTTATAAATAGTCTTGGATCTTCCACTTTCTTGTTGTATGGATTCTCGTCTTGAAATCGAGACGTCGATGCATGAAAAATTGACGCCCTACTGAAGTACTTTCGGAATTAGACACTTTCTTTTATGTTTTATAACACAATTAACTAATGTTCTTCAAAGATGGGGCTTATGTGGCCTCCTTACAAGAACTTGAATTTTCTAATAAGAAAAATATCCGGCATTGCCGGACTTTCTTCGTATGCAGTCATTGTGAAAGAGGTAAAAGATAAATTTTATATAAACCACGATGTTCGAGATCGTATTTTTAGTTTTCCGTATACGTACGTATATACGAAGTAATATACGTAGTATAGGGGAAGTTATGTAATGCTGCGGAAAATCGATTTCGAGATTTTCATGGAAATACTTATATTGGGGTTTCCTGATACCGAAAAATTGTGTTTTTTTGTTTTGTTTTTTTCTTTCAAAACGTCCGTCTGTCAATTTGTCTGTCCGTCTGTGAAAACTAATAGGGCCTAAACCATATATAGGATTTTTTTCACACTGAAGAAACCCCTACCCATCTCGTTCAAATCGAATTTTCGAGATTTTGAAAAAAATCCTTTAAAATTTGGGGGTACTTTACATGAAGCCCTCTGGGCAATTTCAAAATTTTCTCAAAAACGACTCCAATTTTTTACATTTCTTGGAAGAAAAGAGTAAAATATAATTATAAATATGGTATATGTCTGATTTTCACTGTTAACTCTAAACTTTGGAAACTTTCAAAATATCAAAATATTTCGGAAGTCTTCCTACAACTACAAAATTGAAGATAGAGATTTTTCCTTCTAATAAAATTTGTTCTCCATGGTAAGTTCTTTCAAGTTCATGTATAATTTTTTGAACACTTTTAGTAGTTTTCGCGCAATATCGCGAAGAATATTTGCCATTTCAAAAAATTACAAAAACAAAATTTTCTCAAAAAAAGCTCCAAATTTGCTCTTTAAATTTTTAGTAAGGATAGTACTAAATGCACTCCATAGCTTACATAAGCGCATTATTGCCCTACTGTTTTGTTTTCTCAAAAAATTCAAAATGTAATTTTTTGACTTGCTTTTCACAATGTTAATATTTTCATTAGCGGCAATTTATTTACATTAGCGTATTTATGAATACAAATGCTTTAAATAATACCAGATGAAATTCCTCGAAAACTTAATAGTTTTCTGTACAAACTCAATGGTTTTCTGTGAAAACTAGATCAAAATTACTCATTTCCAGAACCGCTTAAACGCCACTTTCTTAAAAACAGCTCCAATTTTTTTCTTCAAACTTTTTGAACGAATAGTGCTAGTTATAATCTTTGAGGTTACGTAATGTTTATTTCGTTGTACTTTTTGTTCTTATTTCGTAGCTCTAAGACTATTTTCTTAAAAAACGGCTCCAATTTTTTCAAAGAGATTTGCCATTTAGGAAGAAGTTTTAGTTCTTTAATGTCAATAAAATAATATCTCCGTTTTATTGTTATCCAAAATATTAAGAAATTAAAAAAAAACTTTGGGTGGCGATAGATGGCAGCCGGGAAGAGTGTGGCAAATTCGTATAGCTAGCCGAGACAAAAGAAAATATAAATCTGATACGGGAACGTCTGTGCCATTCTCTAGCACCTTTTCTTAATATAATTGATTCATATTTCAATTAAATGCTATAATTTTCTTTCATTTTATTTTACAATGCATTTCTATTAAATTGAAAGTGTTTATCATATGCACTGTTACTGGCCTCCAGCGAATCCGTTATTTACCAGTGCTTCTGCACCGCTCGTGGTCTCTTGCGGAATATCTTAAGAACCACGTGGTCTCAGCAAGGCGAAAAATAATGATCGTGGTGCCTCTACCAACATATTATTTAAATTACACATCTGCCGTAATTGTGGTTTATTAATTTGTATCAAACTTTGCGAGGGAACTGAAGAACAGCCTGTAAAAATTTCCTAACTATTCATACACTACTTTTAGTGGTATCGATGTCAGTTATATGTCGTTGAATGTACTTTTATTAGTATAAGACATCAAGACAATGTAAATTCTTACATGTTTTTAAGTGTTTGTTACTAAGGTGGTGTTTATTTGTAATTGCAGTTGTGAATGTGTGAATGGTAAATGGTAGTCAAAAAAACAATAAAAACTGTACGTGACGTATGTGTATATCTTCATACATGAATCAGTGGTTTTTGTCAAAAATGACTTGCTTAAGGGTGGAAATATATTTTTAGCAAACGCCGTTGCCTATAACTACAACACTCGACGTAGTAATCATATTTATTTAGTGATAGTATCAACAGCTCACTACAAAAAATTCACATATAATACATGAACATTATTTTAGAACACCCTTTCAGATGACATTAATCGATTAAATTCGATGCAAAAGGTTAAGTCCCAAGTAAAATCTTTCCTGCTGCACAACTGTTTCAGTACAATTAGAGACTATACCGAGCAGCCAAAAGAAAGTTATATTAATTTTAACGACGAAATTCAGTGTATTATTTACCATTTGGATTGTATAATTCTAAAGAACCCGTAAGAAGTATTGTGCTTCAGCTTCGGGGTCATCGACTCCCATCTTCATCAACCTGCTCTTGAGCAAATGCTGCGATGGTCCCTTGTTTTGCTTCTGGACATAAATGTAACTTCAAATTAACGTCTTCCCATTGCACGTCACACACAGTTGTTAAATGTTGTTGACGCAAATAAATAAATTAATATAAATGAATTATAAATGAATATAAAAAATATAATAAATAAATTAAATAATAGAAATATAAATAATTAAATTAAATATATAAATATAGAATAAAATATAAATAATATAATAATATTAATAATATCATAATAATATTAAATAAAATTAGTAAATAAATATAAATAAAATAAATAAATATAAATAAATATAAATAAAGTTTATATACATTTACTCCATGTTTACCTCGAGTGCATGGTCGGAGGTTGTGATGTATACTTGCTGTGACAGGCAAGTGGCAGGTTGGTGACAGGTTGTGAGGATATTGGGGAATTGGTAGTGGGAATGGGAGAAACGGAATTAGGATCAGAGGAGGAGGTAAGATGGTTTGAAATAAGGGTGGGGGATGGAGAATGTAAGTGAGGTGAAGGGGATGTAATTTTGGCAGGAGACACATTGGAATGGAGTTGATGTGTAGTGCAAGCTTGTTGCCGACTGCATGTTTTCCAGCAAGGTTCACATAAGATCATATCGGGTGAAGTGTTACTATTAGTGTGAAGATATTTTCTCAGTGTACAAAGAGCTGAATGACAAACGTTATTTTGAAATATTTCTGGATTCTGAAATAAGTGCTTACGTTTATTATGCAAACAATTTAAAATTTGATATTAAAGTTCAGGAGAATTTTGAATTTGGCGGGTCACGTGCGTCACGCGATTCCTCGTTTACACATTCGTTCTTCCAGTGGTTTTAGCCATGTGATCATGGTGAGACTTAGTTTCTCCGTGTGATCATGTGCTAAAGCCACCTGCTGTCTACCTGTTTTTCCGCGGTTTCATCGGGTTTCATGTAATCATAGAAGATAGTGGAGGTAGGCTCCAATTAATGTTGACCGTGAGATTTCAGAAATATATAAGTTACGATTTTAATACAAGAAGTTCCAGGCAATGCAGTGCCCTTCTTTATCCTATTGAGTAGGTTAAAACTGTAGGCGTACTGTTTTAGTTGTATTCGCTGTTATTTTCGTTAATGTTTGCCACTTGATGCCACTTTCTATTTTAATTAATTTGAAGTAGACGATACTTCAGTGTCCTGTGTAATTGTATTTTAATGTAATATTTCAATTAAGCGTCTTAAATATGTGTAATTTATTTTCAAATGCACAATTTTTTTGACACAATTTGAATGATGTAATTGTGTATTGCAAAATATTTCTTTTTCTCAGAAGTGTAATTCTGAGTGGACTTTAAATCTGTGAAAAGAGATTTTGTAAGTGTGGTTAGAAAATGCTACTCACTGTTGTATGTAGTATAATAAAATGCTACCCATTGTAATATAGAGAAATTGAAGAGGTTCCTGTTTATAGTTAGTTACTGTTCATATTTCTTGCTATCATTGCAGATCTTGTTTACAACAATCAGAACTACATTAGGAAAAAAAGTAATAGTTTTGATAATTTTTGGATCTAATGATTTTTGGTAATTATTGTATAAATTAATGATTGAAAGTGTTACTTTGTGTTCTGCATTGCCAAGCCTCATAGTTTGTTTTATTTACTAAGTGACAACAAATAATTGATTATAAACGAAAGAAGTATAGATGATTTCAAGGGGGTTGCAGCATCATAGTGATCACTAGGTGACAGAATTTATTGTAATATAAAAACAAAATAAGTACATTAATATGTATTCATTTTTTCCAAAATATATAAGAAAAAAAGGGAAATAAAAATTCATTATAGTATTAAAAATTGCTCTAAAAAAGCATTTTCCGATCATAGAATGTTTCTGATAGATCTTTGCTGAAAAAATTCTACTTATACAGTAGAAATTGTACACTATTCTTCACCACTCCGAAGAATTTAATGAAAATATAAAATACATTAGTAGTAGAATGGGGTTTTTGAAGAGCCGATGCACAAGTGAACAGTTGTACTGAGAAATCAGTGATAAATCTCCGAGGGTGGTAGGTGGAAGGTTATGAGAACATACTTCCGCAAATCGACCAACTTGATGAGAAAATGATTTATATAAAATATTTGTTAGCTTTTGATTGATTTATGAATGTGCTATTTGAAACATGGGCAAGCATGTAGTTAAAATTTCTTCTGTTTTACAAACATTCACTATCTTTGACTCCAAGTTCAGGGTATTTAAGAAGCAAGCGATGGGTGGGTACTTTTGACAATTCATGGCGATGATATGGGGGTCATAGACGCGAAGTAGCATTATATTGCTTGATGGGAAAAATGATTCCTAATCATAAATTTTGCAGACACAAATCTGAAATATTTCTTTTGAATACAAATGAATTAAAATGTAACTAAATATATAGTAATAGGTATAATATGTTAAAATATCTGATATAAAATAGATCATATTCATTCAGAATGTAAACTAAAAAACCTGTTTTGACTGTAGGTATCGGTGTAAAACCGTGTAATTACATGAAAATCTGTTCTCTAGTGATCAACTTAGTTATATAAAGTTAGGATTTGCCATCTTGCACCAACCTCTTTGTTAATAGTTTATATGGTGGTTGTCATAGCCATAACACTTGGTAAAATCATTGTGTCTTTTACAGGACTCAAACCTGCATAGTTCACCTATATGCAGATAGTCTATGCTCTAAACTTTTTGATTTTCAAACTGGAAATTAATAATAGTTTTCTAAATATATCAAATCATTTTAATACTTCTTGATCAGAAATGAAATTAATAATGGGAAATAAGACTCTGTTAATTTTTTCTTAAAAAGCTAATTGTTTTTCAAGTATTTTAAATTTATTTCATGCTGTTAAAAAGCAGAAATTATTGCATGCTGAGTGAAATTGTCAGAAATGGTTCAAGAACAAAGGATGAAATAGGTCCATCGTTTATCTATTTGTCACTGGTGTTGAAACATTTCACCCACATTTCTTATTTTCCTAATATTACTTTTGTTTCTTTTCTTTCATCCTATTAAAATATTTAATTACTTCTCCTTACATTTTTTTATACTCCTATGAAAATATTTGATCATTGTCTTCATTAAACATTGCTCATGGTGCATTATGCATGTTTTTTTAAAATTTGGATTTTTGAAGTATCTGTAAAATAAAGAAATACGGAAACTTTTTTTTCCTGCCAATATATTGACACAATTTGTAATAAATTTTAGTTGTTGCTTTTTTCATGGTTTTATACTAATTTTTATTTCATTCATTTCAGATATGCTGCATAGAACAGTGATAGTATAGCAAATTATTATATGCTAACTCATTTATTAACAAGAGGACAATTTTGTTTTTCGAAGGTGAGAATGAAATCGTATTATACAGATGTTCCACCAACTATGGGCCATCCCTAAATGGTTTGTGATAGCAAAGTGCAGTTTGTGCTCAACAATGCAGATCTTGGGCAAGTAATATGCTGTAGATATATTGTTCATAATATTTTTAGTTTTTAAGAAATTTAATGATCTTTGATTTTTTAGTGAGCTGTATGTTTTTCTTATCAGCAAAGGATAGATTATGCAAAGAGGAATACAATGATAAATCATGTTAGTATTTTACTAGTAATTTGAGTATAAAATTAGAAAACTATAAATATTTCAAACAATATCTCAGTTATATTTCTTGCCCATATAATTCCGCGTTTTTGAGCAAAAATTGCACTTCGATATTATGAACCATTTAGAAGATTGGGGGTGGCCCATAATTAGTGGGACAGCTTATATTTTAGGTATTGCTGATTCAAATTTTGCTGGTAAAGATACATAGATTTTTGTTCTTTATTCCTTCATCTTTGGAAAGCGTGCATTAGAATGGTTTAAGAGCTTGGCTATTTTGACCACAAAAGTTTTGGTGGGGTAACGTTTTTACTGTTTGAACAACGTTTAGAATTTGTGTTGTAAGAATAAGAATACACAGGTTTGTATTTTAAAATAACTCACTATATTGAACTTGCTCAGTTTCATTTCATTCTACACTTTGAACTGTATTTTGAATTCAGTCCTTAGAACAGTGTTATGCACTTCCAGAAAATTTCTAAACAATTGTTTTGAAATTAAATCATAGATCCAGCATTATGTACATTCCAAGAATGCCTAGCTAAGCCTCTGCGGTTCTCTCTATTGTTTTACCTAACCAAATATTGGAAATAATCGGGATAGTCATGGTTCCATGACCTAACTTTTAAAATCAACATGTTCAATGTTGGTTTTTCATGTTCGTCCATTACTTAGCATGGTAACGTTTAATGTATTACACTTCACAGTTTTAAGAGTGGGGGTAAGAGCTACAATTTTGAAGGTATTATCAGTTCTCATTTGAAGGAACAAGGGGTAAAAAGTTTTGAGGAAATTATTCATTTAATGTTAAACATGTTGGTGAAGTGGTGGGCACATGGCTTGAGTTACTATATTAATTGATATTGTAGCAAGATAGGGCAGATACTTCTTAAAGCTCAGCCATTGAAGTTAAATCTGCCTGTGGATGTTCAAGTTAAAGTAACAAAGAAGAGTAAACTTGTTCAAAACCCCATTGTTACAATCCATGGTCTATCTTGTGTGTTTTGAAGCCAGCTGTCCAGTTGCAGACACGTCACTGATGTATCAGTACTGCTTGGCTTTCTTATTTGAGGATCATTATCATTAGTTGCAATTCATTTCTTAATGTTATGATACAGTTACTTCATGGATCTAATTCTTTCAAGTTGTTTTGAGGAGGTTATATAATTTTGCATAATTGACAAGAGAGCAAATGTAGAACTTTTCAAATTGCTGACTAAAAGTTAAATCAAAAATGTTTTTATAATTTTGAATTTCTTTAATAGGTGTGTAAAATTGAGTAACACAGCGATTACTGGTAACTTAAAATTTTGAAAAGAGAGCAAATTTACACACATGAAATTGGAACCATACTTTCTGCACCACATTTGAAATAAACACATTTCTTTTTAAATTTGTGCTGACAAGGCCTAACACCCACATTGCCCTAGAATCTGATTTGAAAATGCTGGTTAAGGTGAAGTTGAAATTTCCAGCTATTTTTGTGCACAATAGAAGTAACTGAATTTTCCAGATGTAATAACCTGCAAGCCAGGGTAGCATGGTTGCCTTAAAATCTGCAAGAGTACTGTTATCAAGCAATGTTTACAGATCATTTTCAACTCCTATTCACATAGAAAGCACTTTCTTTTAACTTGCTATATTTATATAGTCGAGTTTGCAAAAGTGCAAGAGAAATGTTGATTTTGTTACCAGTCAAATTGCTTTTAATAGTGATTATGGCCAACGACATGATCATACAACACGTTTTTAGCATGTTATAATAGATCTAAAATCTGTCACCAGTATGTGCGCAGAAAGCACTTTCTTTTAACTTGCTATGCTTTAATAGCCAGTTTTGCACGAAGTGCGTTAGTAAACTTGATTTTGTTCCGAGTCAAATTGCTTATTAAAGTAATTATGGCTAACCACATTATCACACAATAAAATTATTTACCAAAATTTTCATCTTTATTACTGAAGGATGATGGTACTGTATTTGTGTTGATTTGAATCACATGTACTTGAACACAATTTAGAAGTACAGTCGACTCAGATTATAGTGAACTTGGTTACTGGTCCCATTTCACTTACATTACAAATAAGCATACGAAGATTCAGTTATAGTGAACCTGAACCTAGGCTATAGTGAACATAAGAAATACAATGTCCTGGAAATTAGTTCTCTCCTGGAAAACATTATAAATTATCTCAGTGATACAAATTCCAGTGCTACAGCCCCATAGCCAGTCAATCCGCCCGAATCTCGCAGAAAGTCGATCATTTTTATTAGCCGCTTGGGCTACAGAAAGGTCTTTGAAAAGTGATGATGTTTGTTGAGTGCATCAAAAGGTGTCAAGAATGCATATTGATACTTAGAGAGTTTGGACAATGAGGAATTCAGTTATTGAGAGAGCACAAACTCTGGAGAAGAATCTAGAAAAATTACTAATGAAAAAAGTACAAAACAAATAATTGAAAATAATTGATTAGGACAAACAAGGATATTGAAATGTGCAGTTCCTACTGGTAATGTATTTTGTTGTGTCTCTGTATAAATAACATCGATCATTGTGGAGAAATTCTATTTAATTTTGGCATCATCGGATATAGTAAACCGCTAATATAGTGAAACAAAAATGTGAGTTCCCAGAAGTTCACTGTAACAGAGTTTACTGTATAATGAAAGCGAACTTTTGTCAAAGGAGAAAAATTTAGTAATGTAAACATTGGTTAAATTATTAGATGGCTAATTTGGAATCTACAAAATTATGAATTGGCATCATCATGTGTGGATGGTTTTTTAAAATCTGCATGGAAGTCGTGCAATGAAGTGCATAAATAAAGTTTGAGATCATTTATATATTGCCTGTTCTATGTGAAGCCCTTTCTTTTAGCTTGCTGTATTTTATAGTCTAGTTCGCACAAATGTAATAATAAATTTTTTTGTTACACAAAGGAAATTAATAACTAATTGTTATTATTATATTGTCATTATTATTATTTACTTAACAGCCATTTCTTACCATGCTGCACATTCTCTTCCAAGGCCCAATCATATTCTATCTCAGAGATTAACGTGTGTTATGGGTATCAGCTTTTCAGCTGCATCCCTCGGTAAGACCCGGTTGTTAAGCCTTGAATTATGAGCTGATAATGATAAAGAGGTGATCAGGGCCTTTTTGGACCATCCCAGCATTCGCCTGTATGTCTGAGGGAAACCACGCAAACCTCCGACATGGCTGGTCCGGGGATCTAACCTCAGCCTCACGATTGGGAAGCCAGCACACTATGCACTGGACCTCCTTAATTTTTTTTTATTTTTATTATTATTATTATTATTATTATTATTATTATTATTATTGTTATTATTATTGTTATTATTATTATTATTACTATTATTAATTTGTAAGAGTAATATTGGGTAACAATGTTAACACACAGGAGATGTGTTTAGCATATAATGCAATCGAAACCAATATTTACACCGAAAGCACTTTCTTTTAACTGCTATATTTTAATGGCCAGTTTTGCACAGAGTGCAAAAGTAAACTTGATTTTGTTCAGTGTCAAATTGCTGAGAGTTGTGATTCTGACTAACCTCATTATCAAACATTATAAATGCTTATTGTTGATTTATTTGATAAACATTAAGAATTCCTTTGATGGGGTATTTATGTTGATTGAATTTCATTCATGTACCTGGTCACCAGTCACTTGACCACTTTGGAAGTGGTGTTGAAACTGAATTCATCAATGGGGAAACGTTATAGGTGTACAGTGATATAAACATTGGTTAAACTGTTGGGTGCCAGTGGGGGATATAAGAAATTAGGAATTGTTGCTGTCATGTATATGTTGTTGTTTTAAAATCTTGTTTCAAAATGATGAGCAAAATGCTAAGTCTTCTTCTTTGCCATCATCAAATGCATGGAGTCGACAAAGAGGTGGTATTCTTGAAAGAGAATTACTTTGTGACATGAATTTGTCATACCTATTAGCCCAGAATGCACTTTCTTTTAACTTGCTATGTTTTATAGCTAGTTTTGCACAAGGTGCAAGAGGAAGTTGATATTGTAAATAGTCAATCTGCATTTTAATAGCGGTTATGGCTAACAACATTATCATACAATTGTATAAACAAAGGGCTTGTGATCTGTTATATTACGTATATCCACAGAAAGCACTGTTTTGCTATAGTTTAGTCTAGATTGCACAGGTGCAAAAGTAATTCATTATACTACAAGCCAGATTGTGTTATTAATAGTGATAATGGCTAGCCTTATCACGCAGAAGAAATGTATGCATTCATTTATCTATTCAGGAGCATTCCCTTTAGAGTTCATCTCATACAAAGTATACAAAGACCCTCACATCCGACCAATGTTAACAAATGAAGTGACAAAAGAGAAATTTGTGAAGAGGACACACATTGCACTTTATAATTAATAATATTTGTAAATAATTAGGCTGTCAAACCCCATAGCACATGGTGTATTTCCCATCTTGTGTTTTGACATGAACCTTGAAAATTATGCATCCACGGCCTTACATTCATGTATTCAACGACAAAGGCCTTATGTTATCTACAAAATAAAATCTTTTGGCATCTTCGATTATATTTTTGCGAGTACAGCTCTGCTCCTCACTCTGGTAAGACAGGTGTGTGCAGTTTCTTTTTACAAATAAAGTAGAACTTGTGTAAAAAAAAAAAAATGTTGCAAACAAAGCATTTGAAAATTTTTAATATATCTGCATTTGTCATATGCTCCAAACCTTTGCATTTTTGATTTAATAAATTCTCATTTAATGTGGGTCGTACTTCAAGACAATTTAGTAATGTATTCTGTGTATAATTTTCAGATGGACAATAAATTATCTGAAATATGTAAACAATTGGACCAGCTAGCATTAGATATCCTGAAACTCTGTGAAGAGCAAGTTAAATGCAGGGTTAAATTGGAAGAAGCAATGAAACCTGGTTTTGTTCACATAGCAAAGTCTAGATACATTATGGGCAATCGAACAGTATGTTCCCTTCAGCTCCCCACAGAGGACAGTGCTGAATTTGATGCGTTGACAACCGTTGTGCCTCAAGAGTCGATTACAGACAGTGAACACAGAGTGTTCAAACTAGTAGAAACTCCAAAGGGCCAAGATACATCAGGGAAATCTGTGTTACGGAGAAGAAAAGAGAAACTTGAAAGTGATGTGAGTACTGAAGCAAAAGAGGAAAACGTCAAGACATATGTGGATCCCATAAAATGGTTTGGTGTCCTTGTACCTCAAAATCTGAAAATGGCTCAGAATTGCTTCCAGTCGGTTCTTCCTCTTGTTGTTGAATGTGCTAATGTGCAAGGTGAGTTGCAAAGGGCTCAGATGAAATACCAGAAACTCTTGAAGGAGAAAGATTTGTTAAGTTAAGTGCTCATGAAATTTTTGTTACAATTACTAATTGTATTGACATTTATGGTTGTTTGTTGTTTTACATAAAGTTTCATTACTGAATATGAGAGTTTTATTTATAGCTGTGAAGAATCCTGTGAAGTTATTTCCCATCCTGTGTTCTTGTAAAACTCCCTTACATGTTTGTTATGATTTCTTTCCGTTCTTCTTTTTGTCACAAGGTTATCACTTGTTGGGATTTGACATTGGGTGAAAAGAAATAATTTATATCCTCCATGTAATATTTGGGTTACCTGTGCGAGTCTTATTAATTACTTATGGTTAGTCTCCCACTTGCCTTAGAAACTTTCTACCAGCAGTGTGAGGTAAATGGTGAGGTTATGATTGTGTGTAAATCATCATGTACACATTGAAACACAAAACTACATAATCTGACACACTAACACTTTCCACCGCTGACTGATCTCTGTTTATTTAATATTGTCTTTTATTCCTCATCAATGTAATGTTCTTCACCTACTTGTGGCACCTCATGGCAACTAATGCCTACTTCATTTGGCTAAAGTCAAAAATATGCTTGGAAGCCATTCCTACTTTGAACTTTATTCACTTATATCACATTTTGTGAACAATAACTGGCTAATTCTGGAATTAGCCACAACATATATAAGAAATTATGTAGGGCCTAGGATTCATACTTGTGATACTTCACCCTTTATCAATCTATGTTGGGAAAGCTAGCTCAAAATCTTTTTAACTTTAACATTCTGTATTGTAACTATTTCACAACAATTTGAAAGATATTATTTAACCCATTGATATGCCTCACAAGCAGTAAAGTAGTCTCAATGGAAGTGTTGTGTGTTACAACCCCAAGTTTGTCAGTGCTTAAAACTTTCCACTAAAGTCTTTCTCTTCCTTAAGTATCTCTCTGTCCATTCTGATTTACCATTTGTTTCTTCAGTACACTTTCCCATACATGTTTATCCATCCTCTCATTGTATGTGATGACAATGAACTGTATATTATATTTGGCCACTGGTAGTGCAATTTGTCAGCTGCATCACAGACCCTTAATTAGTGTTTCTGTATGCCCCTAGAAAAAAAGGCTTCCCCATCTTCTGCCCTAAACTCAATTCTTTCTGTAGCAGGCCTGTGAAATTCAGCAGTCATGTTTCATCAGTTGTGGACTCCACATGGGGTTCTGTCTGCATGGTGTGTGTTTATGGGGGGGGGGACAGGACTTTTTTTGGCAAGCTTGTATTCACAATCAGTTGCCCTCCAAAAAAGTAAAAGTACATCTCGATTTATTTTAGACAAATTACCTAAGGAGTGCACTAACTTGAGAGCAATTTATTGCAAGAGTGTTATTGAGCATGCACCATAAGCTTGTGCTGAGGAAACGGCTCGATGCCGGCACCTTTCTCATTAGAAAGCAAATGGTACTAGTTGTGGACCTCATTATTTTCCAGTTTCCCTGATTACAAAGTAGTTCTTTCACATGAATATTTTTCCTGGAGTTTTGTTTATTAATTTTGGGTTCATATCAATACTTCTAGTCACCCCTTCATTGTGGCCCATAGTAGTATCACAGAATCAACCAGCAGGCATGCAATTCACAAGCAGATCATTCTCTTGTCTTGGCAGTTAATGCAAGAAAATGTTGCAGACTTATAACACAGAGTAATTTTACTAGGCATTATGCATGTTACATAGTATAACTAAAGCAGACTTGGTATGAGGAGCTGCCACTGCTTGGTAGATCAGGTTCCTGTAATAGAGATTACTGTAAGAAGGGACTGCTTTGACAACTTCTGCTTGGCCACTGCTGGCATCATAACTGCAGGATATGTCCATGCACTGATTACGTCTGCATTTGTGTATAGTTATATCATTTGTAAATGGCTTTATCACTTGTAATCTCATTGCCAGCCTGCATTATGTTCATTTATTTCCGACCTGTCAAAGTGGTCCTTTCTTACAGTAACTCTTCTACTGGAGGGGCAGAAAGTGGCTCCCAATCCATCCCCCTTTCACATTGTTATTTGATTCATCATTCACATATTCATAAGTTTTTGGAAGGCCTCTGCAACCTGTCTTGCTCATTCAAAAATGAGAGTATAGGTAAGTAATTATATTTTGATGTCTAAAATATATAGAGATGTAATATAATTAATTGGAGAATGAGTTAATAAAAGCTAGTTACATAATGCGTGTTACAGAATGGCACAGATTTTCCTGTATTAGTTTTCTATTTCTGCTAGCTATACAAACTGGTCTCTGCTAGCTATACAAACTTACCACATACTCTTGCCAGCTACAATCTATCGCTGCCCAAAGTAAGGTGTGTGTGTGTTTTTTTTTGTTTTTTTTTAATAATAATAATAATTTTCTTAATTTTACGGTCTCCAAATAGAACGGAAATATTCTTTTAGTAATATTAAAGAACAGTAAAACCTCAACATAAAGAACAATTTTCTTTGAAAACTTTGGAACCGTGTTTAAAAACTGGTATTTAAACGCTACTATAAATTCGAAATTTAAGCTCTTTTTAACGGAAAATTTTAGAGTTTTCGACAAACTTACTTTGAAGTCATTTTAAGTACTTAAACCCACAAATACAACAGAGCTTACGAATTGTTGGAAAGGTGCATATAGAATGGTGCATATAGCCAACGAATTGTTGGAAAGGTCTTAGGCATGAGAGATCTTTCCGTTCGAAATGTTTGAAAAAAACATTTTGAGCCATTTTTGAAAAAGTGGCGTTTGAGCATTTCTGAAAATGTAGAATTTTGAGCTAATTTTCACAGAAAACTTGAGTTTTCAAGAAACTTTATCTGACATTATTTAAAGCACGTGTACTCATAATACACATAATGTGAACAAATTGACGCTAATATAAATATTAAGGACATGAGAGACAAGTAACAAAAATACATTTTTGTAATATTTGAACAAACAAAATTATAGAGCAATATGGCGATTATGTCATCTTATAGAATGCATTTAGCACAATCCATACCAAAAACTTAAAGAAAAAATTTGGAGCCGTTTTGAGAGTATCTTGTTTTTGTAACTTTTTAAAGTTGCACATATTGCGAGAAAAGTACTAAAATTTTCATTTTCAATAAGAAAAAATGTACATAACTTTAATGAAAGAACTTACTGTGAAGAACAAAATTTCTCTCTTTCATTTTGTATTTGAAGGAAAACACCGAAAAATAATCATACTTTTGAAATTTTTATAAATTCTGAATTAACAGTGAAAATCGAACCTATGCCACATTGATGAACATAGGTTACTCTATTCTTACAAGAAATATAAAAGAAAAACTGAGAAAATTTTGAAAATGTTCAGAGGGTTTCTTGAAAAGTAGCCCTAAATTTTGAAGAATGTTTTTTAAATCTCAGTTTGACTCAAGCCAGAGGGACAGAGGTTTTTTTAATTAGGAAATTGATTTTCCACAGCTTTACATAACTTTCCCTACACTACAAATATTACTCTGTATATAGTATGTATACGGGATGGTATGTTAGTAAAATTTAGTATTCATCCAAAAGGAAAGTAATATTAATTTTAACGACATTTAGTGTATTATTTACCATTTGGATTGTATAAATTTAAAGAACCTGTAACGAGTATTGTACTTCAGCATCTGCGTCAATTACCCATCTTGATCAGGTTTTCATCCGGTTTCCCTGATCCTTGAGCAAATGTTGGAATGGCCCCTTGTTTTTCTTTGGGACATAAATGTAACTTCAATTTAACTTCTCCCCATAGCACGTCACACAGTTTTTAACTGTTTTTTTTATATAAATAAATAAACCTTGAATTATGTACTTGAAACCAGTGATAAGGACCTCCTTTGTGTACATTTTTGTACATTGTGTAGATGTAGAAATGTATTTAAGAAATTTAATAAAAAATACAGTAATGTTTGAAGATTTACTAAGTATATATTTGCTTGTTTGATGTTTTCTTCCAGTTTCATAAAAAAAATGAATAATAGTAAGCAAACATGCTACAGTAAATACCAGTATATTATAAATTCAGTGAAATTTGTTGACATGTCAAGTTAGTGGCATGTTGTCTATTCCTACACATATTGAATGAACTGGTTTTCAATTTCTAGTCTTCGTTTTACAAAGTTCTTAAATTTCATTATTGCTATAATAATTACACTAGGTTTCAAATTTTAACTTATTGCTGCTACAAATAGAAAATTACTGATCCTGTATTTTGTAGTGCTGAACTGAAAACTATCTCATATATTCCGGTTTTCTTGTAATTATATATCATGAAAATATAAATTCTGCATTTTCCTCTACTTGGTTGGGATATTTAAAACTTACAACCAATCAGGGTTCTTTTTCTTTACTCATTAGCAATGCATCTTCATGTGTTTTTCTGAATATTTGACAGCAATAGTTGGCTAGCATGAATGCATTCTAGATTCCCAAGTATTGTATTAAAATATTAAATTTGTTTGATGAATTCTCTCACCATGTTAATCAGAAACTGATCGCAATTGTCCTGAAAAATATCTATATGAGGAGAGGAGGAAGAAAGTAATGTTTTAAGAATTGGGTGCATTCTACAAGGTAAAAAGGCACTACCATATTTTTTTTTTACTATTTTCTTGAAACTTGATTGGCAAGGGTTTTCCAGAAAATTGAAGATAACATTGTTGACTGATTCCCATGAAAGTGCCCTCTTGATTTATTTTGTCAAAGAACAGTAAAAACTATGTGACATACAGGGAGAGGGACAATCTGTGTGTTTTCTTGAGCTCCACAATCTCTTCCTCACCGTTTAACCATAAGTAGCTGAATGATTAATAAAAATTCTAAGAAAGCAAGGTTAGCAACAATTGAAAGCTAGCTATTTTTGTTCCCAAGTTATAGAGAACATGGATTTGATTTTTGTTATGCTAACAAAATAGTAAGTTTCACCCTCAGCTTTCTCCTACCTCACGTGCCAAAAGGAGAGCTCAACAAAATACGTGCGTGGTGAAGTTACATTTATGAAGCTCCTTAAGCGACAGTAGTTTCAGACTGCTTATCAGAAAACATTTCTTTGATTTGGAGTCGTGTACCTATTATTAGTGTTTTGCTTAACCTCCGAAATGTTGCAAATAATTAAATCTGTATATCGAGAAGAAATCTAAAAGTAGGTTCATTATTATCCAATGTTTTTACTAGTTTTGTTGAAATTGTAATTTGGTATGTGAAGGAGGAAAGAAATTATGCCAAGACTGCTTCTCTACTATTTCTTTTCCTACTTTCCAATTCTTTCACCGGCCAGTCCTTTTTTCTTAATTTGATATAGAAATCTTGATTGTCCTGTCTCAAAGAATGCAATTGTAATCCTTGATGTAGCTCAAATAGAATTTAAATCGCTATTTTTTTGCCAATAAAATGAATTGTGATTAATGAGATTTTGAAGATAATTTAAATATCTTTTTTTTAATGCACAGCCTATAGGAATAGATGGCCCTACACACCCATTGCGCACACTGCTTTGAGGTTCAGAATCTAAAACAGCTTCCATTCTTTGGTAGAGAAATTAATGTTCATAGATTCCATTAATCCTTTTTTTTTTTTAGATCATATCTTTTGTGACCTCAAACATTGTTCTAAAAACACTTCTGTCAGACGTCTGAATGACTACTAAATACTTCATAGCTTCTGGCAATCTCTATAAACAGGAAGTGTTTATGGTTTCTTTAAGGTTTTCCTATTGAAGAAATTGGGAAGCTAGAAGTTCTGCAATAGTTCTCAAAAATTCTAAACCTCTTGCAAGACAATACATCCTACGTGAGTTCATTTGTGTGGATGTAGTATTGGTGCATGTGTAAAGTGAATGTTCAAGAGTAAGTCCCCGTTTAAAATGGCTGAAAGTTTCTTTATCTGAACTTTAAAAATGAGACCACAGAAAAATAATTTACTGTGATATTCGTAATTAGAACAAAATTAATTGGAAATAATTTTTTAACATGACAGAAACAATTTGGGTATTGACCAATGGTATCAACTGTAATTATTGGTGTGTGATCTCCAGAAATAATGTTAGATCCAACAGTAATTCATACAGCTCAATTCAATTATTGTTATTACACTGATCAACAAAAATTAAAAAAATTCAGAAAGAAACCGTCTTCATTCATCCGGAAATGTCTCTTTTGAATTCGTATCTGTAATCTGTTTCTTTCTGCTAATTAAGGGATTGAGGATAAGGTGTCAATGTGATTAAATGGTGAAATAACTGAAGATCTTCATCTATAATATAAATAAAATATAAAACAAGAAGGTAATACAAATAATATAATAAATGCACATTGATATTAACAATACAAAAAAGGACAGGATGAAAACAAATAATGAAATTAGAATATATACATATGATGATGGCAATAATTACAATAATAATTATTATAATTAAAAACTAATATCCTATGAAATTTCAAAAAGTGAGACAGAATAAGTTGAGAAGCTTACTTACCTCACTACATATAGTGAAAGTCTGGAGACACTGCTCAGAGGGGAAACAGCATTTAAAATAGGTTTCTGAGGCAGTAGGTGAGGGGTTAGAGGTGGTCTGATTAGGGAAAGAGAATGTTCCGATATAAACTTCAAAAGTTGAAGATTTGAACATTATTGAAGTTATTCTAAGTATGTTCATTGTTCCTTTATATTATACACACACATGCATGTATACAAGTGAAAAAAAGTGTTAAATTTATATTTTGAAGTTTTAATGTTCACTGAATTGTGTGTTTAAGTTACAAATATTCAGCATTGGCTGCATGCTCTTTAAGTTCTTACCCTAGGAATGAGTAAATGTAATTCTTACTCGATATATTGTAGCTGAAAAGTAGAATCTTAATATTTTGTTAAGCTTAGCTTTCAGTAACTCCAGTCCCACCAATTTTCTAATGAATTCACAATTGTACTTATCCCTTTCATCACATATTACCACACCGTTATTCCATTGCTCTCTTGCAGGTTACAATAAAGCTTTGGGCAGTTCTTGTACCTTCATGGCCATCCGAGTTTTACAATGTTTTATCAATAGACTTAATTTTGGGAAATTGATCGTGTTATTTTCAGGTGGTCACATGTATAACTTTCTATAGTATTTGAGTTCTGAATTTTAATCGAAAACTGCCAACAGCACTTACTTTTCATTTTGACCAAACATAGTAAAAAAAAGTTTTATTATATTGGTAGCTATGGAACCTGATGGACATTGTTCTGCCCTTTATCTCCCTTTCTCTTTTTTCGTTTCCCCCAGAAAATGTAACAGAATGTTCAAAAAGATCTCGATATTTTAATAGTTATTGTGCTATTCCGGACAGAAATAGATCCAACAAATCAGAGATAATTAAAATTGCTGGTTAAACAAAGTCTATATATCACCAGTTTTCAGGACAGACAGTTCCAGAGACAAATTTCCCTGAGTGTTCCTGAACTTTTTTATATTTTTGAGAATTGCCGAATATTTCTAATAAGTTTCAGAGTATATTAATTGAAAAAGGATCTTGGTATTAAAACACTTATTGGCTGGGTTACTTCCTCAGTGGTATCTAGAAGAATAATACCTAGCTTTATGATAGTCTCAAAAATGTCTCCAAATTCTAACAAGTGTTGATTTTTTCAAGTTTTTACTCAATGAGGTCTTATTTCTAAAAGAGGGTGAAGAAAACAAATCATATAATTGTAAAAATTACTTTTATTTATCTGGTTTTTTATCACAACTAAATTTGACTCCAAATAATAAAAATCTGTAAACACTCCTTAATTATATCACTGATTGCTCCATAACATCATAGAATAATACAAATAAATTTTTCAAAATGCTGTTATAAATTACTTTTAAATGTTAAAAAAAATAAACTAAAAATTAGCAATCCTCTTTTCGCTGACTGGCATTATTATTTTTTTAAGTCATAATTTGTAAGAGAAAGCTACATAATTAGGTTATAACAATAATTTGCATTTATATTATCACAAGTTGTACATTTTAATCATGCACATAAAAAAATTATAAACAAACTAAATTTTCCTACATAACTACTCCTTTTCGTGAGCCGCTACATTTTTGTTTGAGTTGTAACGTTCCATTTTTGTAGTTTTGATAAATGACAAAACTGATTTTTCCAAGATTCTGTGTCCATATTCATTAATTCAATGGAGCATTCAAGTGAAATAACTTAAGTGTGCTAAGTGTATAAAGAACAAAATTTAAAACTGTCAGGTACAAATATTAAATTAAACAATTGCAGTACCTGGATATACATACAATTCATTCATACATTATTAACATCAAAGATACCTTCAGTAATTTTTATGATTATGACAATAGTTAAGGAAGTTAACAGGTAATTCATTTGAAATTTAACAGTGAAAGATTATTAGACTAATTCCGATGACAACAACCATCAGATCATCACCTTTCTGAAACCATATAATTATAACACTTATCAGGAAGTCATAAAGTACCGTATCTCAAAAGGAATTTTTATAATTACAGTAGGCTCATAATTATCTGAGGGCTTGTTAAGAGGCAGTCTTTAGGGGAAAAAAAAATGAATCCACTGAAAAAAAGTGTATAAATTGGTTGTTAAAATAGAAGCAAGCCTAGGGCAAAGCCGCCTCCAATTTTTGAAATTTTGGGCCCTTCCCAATTTGATAATCATCCAATAACTGTTGGCCAAACTGTTTGGCATTTGTCATTGTCACTCAGTTTGGGTTGTCCACAGAATACGGAAAATATAAATGAAAAAAGTATCTTAATTTTTGCAATGGATACCAGATTATCCAAGTGTTTTCATATCGGATAGTGTCTATCTGAATTCTGAGATAATCAGGAGTCTATTGTATTGTAGGATGGTATTACAGTTATGAGTCATTTAATGAAAATTAGTCACTCAGAAGACTGTTTTGAGTTTTCTTAAACTGTCTTCCAGGGACAATTACATATTTTCCATTGATAGATTTACAAATTTTTCAAATTTATATTCTTCAGGTAATTTTTCTTTGATTCTATTTACAATATATAAGCCAAGGCAAATTGGGCTTGTATGTTTTGTAAAGAAAGGTGATGATATGGAAAAACATATCACTGAATGTAACAACAGCGAATGATGATATTTATCATATCTTAAATCATGCTTTTGAAAAAGAAATTTCACACATTAATACATACGTATTTGAAAGAGATGAAATATAAAAATTGTAAACGAATAAAAATTATGCTGAATTGATCTACTTACACAATAAACATCTAGCAATCAATAACCAATCTTTAGATTCAGTGTCACTTTGTACTTTGAACATTAGTTATCATCTCATCTAAATTCTTATAGTTTTTATTACGGTAAAACACTTCTAACAGTGAGACTGCCAAATAACTTTCATACTTTTCAATAATGAAATTTAAGCTTTTTTAGCTGCACAAACAATACTATAAAATTTGTATTGTATGTTGAAATGTATGCCTTAAAAACATTACAAACCAGTCCTTTCCTCCACATAATTTTTATACATAACTGATGACCAAACTTCATCTAAAACAGTAAATTTTGTTTAATGTTCTTAAAGACAGGAAATTATTACTCGTTTCACAACACCAATTTATTGGCAGAAAGAGGCCAGTATATTCAATGGAAAGAACCTGCACCAATTGATCATTTGGGAGATTCACTTTTCTGTTTCTTTATGCACTTAATTCATGTGAAAATGAAACTAGAAATGAAAATATTTATATAACATCTGCAAAAATTGTATTTACACCATTCTCTTACCTCCCATAAGCTTGATTTTGTTTACTGAAATCTTATTCAGATCATTAATTGAAATGAACCTTTTTTACAATCAGCAAATTCATGTGCAACAATTAGTTTCTCTTCCTGGTTATTCTTTCATTATACTGAAAGAATAAATGCTTCTCTCTTTTATTTCTGGAATGCAATGCAACTATATGTCTAAGAAAATTAATTTGAGTTATGTCTGATAAAACCCATTATTTATGGCAGGTGTACAAGATTTGTCATAACATGCCAAAATGTTCAATGAGCGATAGTCAGACTTCACTCTGTAAAGCTAAGGTGCAAGTACCTACCACTGCCCAAGTTTCATTTATTTGATTAATTCATTCGGAAAGGACAGAAGCATAATGAATAAGGAGTAGATAATGTTTTGTTTGATAAAAATTCTCATCAATGCCCCATTCACAATATGTGACATAAAATACTTCTAAAATTTTCCTAAATACATAAATAGAATTATTGTATGTTAAAAGACGAATTAATGACTTTATATGAAATTAAGAAATGTATGCAAATTTAATTAATGGAAATGTTCTGTTATGCAATGGAATCATACATTTTTAAATGATAATTCTATTTGCAGTTATTAAAATACATTTGTTATGTCTTACAAAGTCAAACATCTTTTGATGCATTAGATTTTACTAATAAAGTTAGTTGGCAATCCCACTTTACTACAATTAAGTAGTGGCGTCTGCAGTGGAAAAGGGATACTTTTACTGGCTACTATTAATACACTCAACACTGTCATAAAATTTTGCATCATTTCCGAAACAAAGAAAACATTTTCTGCATCAACAGTTTCTCTCATATTTGAAAATATTTGATTTGTATTTATGTTGGTTTCCAATAGAGATAGACACAATTCACTGAAGTTCTCAAATCTGTTTCTCAGCAAAGCAACGTACTCAGCACTTATAGGAAAGTTACTTAACAGTAGATCACATTATCACAGATACACAGAGATCCTCATTCAACATATTTTTATGAGTACTACTAAGTTAAAATTTACATCAACAGAGACTCACACTGAAGAAGGATTATCTTTATAGTATTCTTCACCAAACCATTCTGTTGTGCTCTTCTAGTAGCTGCAAAGAAATAAAAGTGTGAAAAAGCAAATTAAAACACATAAACGACTTACTGGTAAATTAGATGTCAGTTCAAGTTAATCTCTTGTTTCAAAATACTCACTTCAGAAACTGATCCAAGTGCCGTAACAGAACTTTAAGTTTCCTATCAGGCATATTTGTTGCGTAGAGAAGATCAGGAAGTTTCACTACAAATTAAAATTGAAGAGTTAGTGGTGATCTTGTTTCTGAACTAACAAATTTATTTATGCAGGAATGAAATGGAATCTTACCGAAGAGTCTTGTTAAGTGCACTGCCCCATATACTAATGACGGAGGTACTGGAACTTGGCAATAAAGCTGATCAGGTACTAACTGCCAGGATAATATTTTTGAAAGCAGCGAATTCGTCTTAGGGGATGCAGAAGTTATGCTGGGTATCGTAGACGAATGCACCAGTGCCGCGGTTGAACTTCCTCCAGGCAGCATGCTAGTGGTAGGAGTTGAACAACGAGAGCTTGTACTTGTCAAGCTAAAAAGGAAATTTTGTCTTTCTTTTCTTTATTACTTAAAATTCTTAAATTAATTAATTAAATCTTACTAACCTGGACAGGTTATGCGAATTAGGATTTTCCTGTTTGATGTTCAGCACAGAAAATCCCACGTCATTGTTTCTGCTCATATTTCGTAAATTAAATTTGCCTATACCATTGCTTTCAATGTTAGTTGTCTGGTATGTACTCCCAGTCCCCTCGTTGCTGTCTGTACATGGGGGTCGATGTGAGCTACGTAAGCTCCGCTTCCTTCCTATATCTACAACAAGTAATGTTATTACAAGCCATTTGCAAATATTTTACACTACTAATAAAATTATTTACAAGTTTCCCTTACCAGGTTCTCCATTATCTGCACCCGTTTCATCAACATTGTTAGTACTAGAAATATTTGCACTGGCCAGACCCTCTCCATCAGGGGTATGTGGTTGGCTATCCTCATCATCCTCAATTTCTTGTTTGACCAGGTTGCTGAGTTCATCGAAAACCCTTCACATGACCCCAAAATATAAATCAACATCATGTCTAACTAACAATTTCACAACATTCTCGCCTCTATACTATCTGCTCAGTTTTCATTGCAGACTATACATGATGTATCCCTATTATTAGAGCAATAGCACTAGATACACTTTCAGAAAATTCTTATTAAGTTACCATTCCAACTTTACTTCAAATGCAAATGAAACTACTGAGACATTAGTTCTTAATAAACTGCTAATAAAAATTGCTGAGAAATTGATAAAAAAAAAAAAAATCAATCTATTAAGTAGCGCAGATACAATTTTAATGGATTTTGAATAACCTTTTGAGTACACACTAATTGCTTGTTTTCAGTTCATAAATAACAAAATACAAAAGAACACATTTTAAATTTCTGCTTTAAAATGCATATTGGAAGGGTAGGGAGTGCACATAGTGAATTTCAAAATTTCATGAAATATTTCAGCTTTGGTTTTTCTCAGAAACACAAATTGGTCATGTTTTCACGTGACTATATAAACAATTAAAAGCTCTTCATAACAAACTTTTTTCCAAATTGTACAAATGATGAATCTAGTAACAATGGCAAAAGTCATTTGATTTGAAGGATCGCTTATAATAGAATTAATACATACCAGGCATTTCCAATATGATGCTCTGTTTTATAATTTAAGTAATTTGTTAATTGACACATTAAAAGAATTTGAAAGCAGAACATTTAACTTTCTAAAGCTCATATTCTGTGCCAAAAAAAAATATTTTTTTTTGATCTTCACTGTTCAATAATTAACTTAAAATAATGTGATGACTTTCAGTCAACAACGATTCAACATATTCCAGAAAACAAAATTATTTCAAAGAACCAGCAGACCCATTTTCATAATATAATTCTGCTGGATGATTAATGATACTTGTTTGGTACAATACAATTGAGATTCAGATTTTTTTTTTAGTAATGCAGTGTCCAATTTTCAACAGTTTTCCATATTAGTGAACACTTAAAAAAAAAAAAAAAAAAATTGCGATATTTGAAATATAGTAGAGGATCATTTTAGAGATGCAGTTCTCTTTTTAATAATAAAACTGATTCATACTCTATGCATTCTTGTTTTATACTCTGACGAGTTCGTAGCTGCTCAAATTGTTCTCTCTCTGGATTGTACAAGAGTAAATCACCCAATGTGAAGTCAAAATAGATTCTAACACCATCCACTACTTCTTTACAGATGTTGAGACTGAAATGGAAAAATATCATGAATAAAAATTAAGAAACGAATATTACACTGATTAATATGTTATATTACACTTGTTCATGCACATAGATTACAAAAACACAAAAAAGGTGCTTACCTTCGACAAGCTCTATCAAGATCTCTCATTTTATTATTCTGGTGGTATCTATATCGCCTCTGTGGTTTGTCAGTTATCCCGCATAACTGGTTAACCGCACAATGTTTAACGTATCCTTCTAATATAGTGACTACATTTGGTTCCGCTGGGAGATTCACTAGCTAAAAACACACATTGTAATGTAACAAAAGAAGAACCAAAATTAAACAGATTCTTGGGGACATACATAGAACACTCACCTTATGTTTTTTGGTAATAAGTTCATAGTCTTGTTCCAAAAGTCTTTTAAGACAATCGCTTAATTCAAGAGGAACTCTCTCTTCGTCTTCTGCTGATGACTCTGCAGAAGAAGACAAATCTTCCTCTTCTTCTTCCTCCTCCTCCTCTTCCTCTTCTTCACTGTCTTCTGCGTCTCGCTGGCTCTGGCTCCCAGAACTCCCATCTTCTGAAGATGCTCCCCCTCCTCCCTTTCTTCTGCCCTTTTTTTGCTCCAGGCTATCGTTAATTTTTTCAGACAGCTTACGGTGACGCTTTTTGCGCTCGCGTCGATACAGGTACGCACCTCTGGGGAATTCATTTTTTATAATCACAACATAAAATAATATGAAACTAACATTTTGCACACTTTTAAGTGATTAAAAATTGAATCTTACAATTGTAACTGTGCCTTTTCCGCCAGGTCTCTCTGCAATTGTCTATTCTCGTCTGTATCTTTCAGCACATAATCTTCACTCACACACCGATCCCAAGAGGAATTCCAACCCTATTATCAGAATGCAGTTATGAAATTTTCAATTTGGAATTATTAAAATTTAATAAATTTAACACTCCATTAAATATGCACACAAAACACACCTGAAAGTGAATGAGGTATTCTACACTCTTCTTGCCCCTAGTGTCTTTATTCACTATTACTTCCAATACCTGAAAAGTGTGTTAAATTATAGAAATGTTTACACCACATAAAGGGAAAAGCTAAAAAGTAAGAATAAAATACTTACAAAAAGTAGCAAACAATATGGAATTTATATCACACAATGTTACAAAAATTAAAGGACTAATTGTGTTTATAATTATAAAAGATCTAAAAATACATATTTAGTAAAAAACCACGGTTAACTTTCATTTCCAGATCCCTACACATCCCACAAAAAACAACAACATCCATGGATCAAATTTGTGCTGGGTATTTTGTAGTAAAAACAATTTCAAGGAGCTCAAAAACAATTTAAGAGATAAGAGCCCTGTATTCTGACTACAGACGAAGGAGTACTATCCATGTAACTAACAGTGAACTTCAAATTCGTGTGTACAATCAATACGCAAACGTCATCTGAAAACAGCACTCCCTGCCGGTCGCTCCACCTACACCACTAAATTTTGCAGGTTGCACTCCGACCCCGCCCCCTACCCTCACAAAATGACTTCCTGTTTACTTTATTCCGCAGCAAATGCAGTCCAAATGCCGGAGGGGATACGTAGTAGAATTATCATGTCATCATGCAACATTCTTAAATGGTTCTTTAGAATGGCCAAGCTATAAATATTTATGGCGTTCGCTTGGAAATTCTCCTATGCCTAACCACCATTGTACGAGGGTAAAGAAACAAGTGACTATCGCCAAACACGCTGATCGCACAACACATTTCAACTTGAATTGTACGACATTGCTATTGGTACAGTAAATTATTCAATCGTAAATACGCTTACCTTAGAATCATAGAGAACTTTTGCCTTGGTGGGATCCGGTTCGTAGCACAGAACCCTTTCTCCTTCGGAGAATTTAAATTTCACTCCTCGCGTCGACACCATCCTCCATAACAAAACAACTGTATGAGAAAATACAAATTCATAATGCCGCTACGAGAGAATCTGGGTAGTAGAGTTAACCTCATTTAAAGGCCATGCAGGAATGATAACACTGACATCTAAATAAAAAGGAAATTATTAAATATTTACTTCGAATCGCTATTTTCCATCCTATATTCGCCAAATCCGTTCAAGTCCGAAGAAAAAAGGAGTCCAACCGAAGGTATGAAAAACACTGCGCTTCCGTTCTATACTTACAACTGAATCAGTTTATTGTTAATGGGCAAATAATTCACAGATTTTGTAGATAGAACTGTAGGTGAGCGACTTGAAAACTTCTAAAATATTAATTAGTAATTAAAAAACACATAATGCGAGGTTTAAAATGTATTTAACAATATTCATGAATATCACTTGGCAAGGACGTAACGTTTGCGTTGCCGAGCCTGTGTTAAAGTGAAGGATATCACTGTATAATTGTGTTTGTTGGGTTTCTTTAATTGCAGAAAGAAAACGTACAGAATGACAGTTGGAGGAAGCGGGACTCTACTGAAGAAGAAGTATGTATGATGTGAAATGCATTTACGGTTTGTTGATAAACACTTTCTTGGTGAGTGTGTAAGATTACAAAAAATTATATTTTTCTCTCCGCAGTGCTGCATATCCACCGAATGTCCGGTGCCAGAAGTGTTTGGAGTACGGGCATTGGACATATCAGTGTCAAGGGAAAAGAAAATATCTGCATCGGTCCTCTAGAACTTCTCAGCTGAAGAAACGATTGAAACTGAGGGAAGCAGGACAGTCACAACAGTGAGTATTGCTTTATTTACCAGAAACAAGTTGCCGTATTCAATCCATTGTTCATGAAATGTTTTGAGTTAAATTAAATATTATTGCATGATCTTCATTAAAATCTGTGTGTATTATTTTTTAAGATGAGCTGTTATAAATTTGGTATTTGTGTGCTAATGAATTCATTCCTTATCCAAAGAATTAAGAAATTTCTAGAGAAGAGCTAGCTATTGCCCTTCTCTGCTAGATACAATTCTGTCATTAAATGTTATTCCAATAGGGACACTCTCTTGAGAAATAATACTTGAACTATTACACTTTAAACATGATGGTGTAATTGGAGTGTCATCTTGAACCTGGTATTTGATCAGTGTGGCTTACCAAAATGTTTTTGGATACAACATTGAAGTTAAATTGGCCTTTATAGTTGTCATTTTACATAATATACCCTGTTAAACTAAAGAAAATGTGTCAAAATTTTGTACTATTGGAAATAAGATTTAAATATTAACATAAATATATACAATATTTATGTTTGCAGAAACACTTTTTTTTACATTCATTGTGCTTTTTTTTGTGTTATTTGCTTGATATCAGGTTTAATTTGTATTTTGGAAGGTGTAACCTAACAACAATTGCATAGTTGTATTAGCGTGCTCAAAATGGTCATAATTTTATTCTTAAGAGGGAGAAAATACTCATTAAAAATTTGACATTTTGATAACAATCCTTAATTTTCACTTGATGGAGTAGAAAAGTGAAGTACAAATAAGATTCTTCACATGTAGTTTGTTGGTCACTTTATACATTTTTTCATGTAATCAGTAACTAAGTAGGTTACATTGTTTTATTTTCTGTTATTTGAATTTTTCTGCAAATGTATAGGTGCTCTGTCATCAATGAAGTTAACCTTATTTTTTCTTGTGAAATTTTCAAATATATATTCCAACTCAAGACATGAAATGCATTGTATGCATAAATATTTTAGGTAGGTCAATTCATTATCCTCAACATTAAAGGACATGGACAAAATTAAAACAAATTGTGGCTATTGGTCTTGTATAAAACAGGTTAATTTTTGCTATTGATAGAAGATGGAAACAAGAACTAATTTTCTTTTATTCTTCTTCTTATTTTTATTATTAAATTTTCACTGGAATTTTACATTGTTTGCAGAAGAATCAATTGCCATAAAAGGTGTTTCAAATAACAGAAAGATATGTTGGTTTTTTTTTTGCAAATGAGAATCTTTGTTTTTAATAATTTAATTTACATTTACACCAAAGAAGAATTGATAAGAGAGTGATAAAATTTGTCTTTTTCTACCTGAAGTTTTAATGGAGACATTTTCATAATCACGTATAATTATAGTCATCTGTCAGTGTCAAAATGTTGGCAGAACTTTAAAACTAAACGCATATAAGAAATCTTATGCTGTTTGGTCATCCCTTGAATTATTGATGCACCTAGATTTAATTAAACTGTCATGTCATGTATTTTTATAAAAATATGTATTGGGATTAATCATTTGAACAGTGAAACAATTTGTGCAGATTTTGCAACTTAAGCATTTCTTTCATCCACCCTCAATTCATCATGATCTAGAAAATTGCTACTAGACTTGTTGGTTTTCTTTATTTCCTTGAAGATGTGAAGGAATGCATGGTGATTTGTTCCCTACATTTAACGATACAGTTCTTTAAGGTAATGTGATTGTAATAAAAGTAGTTACAGCATATGCATTCTTGTTTTGATGGTAAATCAAGAAAAAATGTAAGAACCTGAAAGTATTTTAAATATTCTAAGTTTATTTGACTTTCCATAGTTTTCTTTTGAAGAGGAAATGCTCAAAGAGATTTTTTATTAATTTACTTATATTTTAATTTCCTCCTTTATTGATTCCTAATTGTAGTATGGGGTTGACTCACAAAAACAAATGAAAAATAATGGTAGCATCACTGTCCTTTCAAGATTTTTAATTTATTATTGTCTGGGAAGTAATATCGCATCTATAAAATTTAATTCAACCTAAGATTTGTGGATAAAAGTCTACAATTAGTGGTTGAGAAAAGAAATGTGAAATTTGTATGGTCTTCAGCACATCTGTCAGCTATCTCATAACAGTCCTAGAATGCAATTTCTTTGGCTTCTAAGTGCATAAACTTACTTTTATTGAGCAACATTGTTTGTGATAATTCTTTGTATTCACTACATTAATTTTCCAATTTGTTGCTGTTATATTTACAAGAAAACGCCATGTAATTTGCATTACTATCACAGACAGGTCTTAATTACATGATGTTGGTTTTCTATTGTATTATTCCGTATGTTATATGTTGGGCACTTCATTGCAATTCTGCACTTTGGCGCACATAGTTAAAAGTAGTTCAGGCACTAAGGCTGAGTAGGAACTTTGCCATTACATGCAAAATTTGAGGAATGTCTCGTTGATGACAGGGAATGACAGTTCGAATGAAAATAGACTGATGTGGCAGCACAGGAAATAATGCGTTATGTAATCTAGTTCAGTCTTTAATGAATATACTGAAATTACTCTTTAATGAATATATATTCTTACTCTGGTCCAACTTGCGCGAGGGCACGTATGCAGCGATGTGATTCTGATGTAATATTCTCACCGCGGAGGAAGCGGATTATCCAAGCCCATTATCGCTTTGTGTGAAGACGAATCCGCGCTTTTTGTAAAACGCTCAGAAAGTATTTTGAGAGTGCACGAGTAAGGAAATTTTGATTTCGCATGTTTTACAACTGAAATGTTGTGCAAAGTAAATGGTTCTCGAGAAACTAAGCTTGCGTCTGTACCGTGTGTTGGGCAGAAAACGGCCAACCCATATGTTCCCTAGGGACGCGACCTTTTACGCCGGTATTGCAACTTTTAAGTGGATGGATGAGATGTGAATGTTTTCAAAACATCGATTTTTTTAAAAAATATTTCTCTTTATAAAGATTGATATTTTAAAGCCGAATTTTTTTATTAACATCGGTGTATTTTACTCGACGTTTTTGTTTTTAACTATTTGTTTAAAAAAGAAAAATTCCCGGAAAATCAATTTTGTAAACGTTAAAATACGAAATAATGGTGGCTTTTGGTGCCAGTCAGTCAGTCAGTGTTCAAACCAAGCGAACTCGTATGCGTTCCTCTGCAGCTGTGCAGCTCTCTCGCTCGAACTGATCCCGATGTGCCGATATTCCCTACTGGTTTCCTGGTATATCGGGGAGGCTGTGTGCGCATGTGCAACCCGTCTTCTTCTCGAACCCATCTAAGAAGAACTGCCCCCACCCCCTTACGATGACGCTGGACGCTGAAACAAGTTTTGTTAATTATTCTTATTATTTGAGCGTTTGTTTTCAGTTCAAAGCATCGATAAATTTTGGTCGATGTATTATAAACTGTGATGTTTGGAAACACGTTTGTTATCGATGCGGAAACGCTATCCGGAGCTGCTTCCGATAGCCCGATTCGAGTCTGGGCCCGACGCACGTTCGCCGCACCGTCCGTGTCCTTGAGCACATCCCGACGAGCGGTTCGTGTGCGAATGAGGAAGCAGGCCATGGTCCGGCGGTGAGGGCGGGAGTGGAGGCGGGAGACGGAAGGAAGGGTTGGGCGCGAACTAGCCCCGATGATGAAGATTCTGTTCCGGCATTTACCTGGAATTAATTGATCGTAGAAAACCATGGTAATGACTGATCAGGATAACCGCCTCCAAGAATCCTTTCCCAAGTGGCGGAAATATCCAGCGCTACTTACATGCAAATATTAATTTGTGTCAAAATAAATAATATAAAAGAAAAAAAAACAACACTGGTGCATTTTCTGGAAAATGGTGGATTTGTAAAATTTCCAGCTGGCGGAGACCATGTTAAGTGAGTTGATTTGAATTTGTATCTGGGCGTTAGATGTCTCAGAAAGGGCGATTGGTCTCGGCGCAGTTAGATCCAGGGGTTTCTAGTCGGACCTCGGGAACCCGCCATGTCTCGAATTCGCTTAATTTTTGTGACTGCACGTAGATGCCGAATTCGGCTAGCGTCGCCGGTTTCACGATCGTGGCCTTCCAGTAAAATCACGCTGGCATTGGCCTGGATGGCTGAGGGGAACCTGGAAAACCTCGGTGGATGACCGACACGGAGATTGAACCCGGGCCTCCCGAATGCGAAGTCAGCATGACGCTCCGAGTCAGTTCGCTCGGTCCGTGAGTTGATGCCGCTTCTTAAAGATGCTAATTTATTTGGAAGATACCTCAGGCCGTTAATGTGCATATTTCCACCAATTTGTAGTCACTATTGTATTTGTGAGTTAATGTGTGTTAAATGACCCCTTATAAATTTTTTCGAAAACTCGAAAATTGTTTTGAGATAAAGAGCTTTAATTTCGAATTTACTAGTAGCACTTAAGCGCCATTTTATTAAAAACGGCTGAAAATTTTTCAAAGAAAATTGTAATATAAGGCTAGGCTTTACTGTTCTTTAATATTCATAAAATAACATTTCCGTTCTATTATTAGGAAACCAAAAAATTAAGAAAAATTAAAAAAAAAAGTATTTTGGGCGTCGATAGATGGCAACTGGCAAGTCCGAATAACTAGCAGAGGCCAAAGGAGATAGAAAACTAATACGGGAAAATCTGTACCATGTAACACCATGTGCACTAGTGCACTATCAGGCCTGACCACATTCAACAGTTTAATACAGTACATAATAAATAGGGCATTCAAGATGTTCATAATTAGGGGAATCTACTCTGTCGTATATTGGGGCTGTCATTGCCATTGCAGGGAATATGATCATTCAGCCCTCAAGTATTGGGCTCCAAAACACACTTTTTTGATGACATTTTGGTGTTTAATTCAATGACTGTGTTTTCTCAATTGCGTGCCCGAAGCGGTTCACGAATTCCTTTGATCTCAAGTATTTCTCATTCATCTGGTTCCTATATTATCGATTGAAATTTCTCCAGATTTCGCAGTGGTAGGAGGTTAAAAGAAGGGAAATAATCGGTC